CAGTGAGTTGTGTGGGCGCCCAGTCGCCATAGCCAGTTGAAGAGAACTCATATCTGGTTACGATATCTTGAGTATTGTGTGGGCGCATGTCGCCAGTTGCTGTTTCGCTGTTTGCATACATGACAAGTTGAATAATCAGAAGTGTGATTTCAGAGTAGCGCCAACGACACCATTCCCTAGAAACTAAATTCAGTACAAATCATAATTGTGCAATAACAATGGCTTGCATGGGCTTCTTGGAACTGCAGGCACATCCTGAGGAGAGAGTTGGAGTATTTGCGCAAAGGGGCGTTGGCGGCCCCACTGTGGTCGTCGAGTACAGCGAGCTGGACAAGTCCCTGGCACATGCTGTCGATCCACAAACAGGAAGGCTTCTATTTAACTGGAGCAATGTGAGTGGGATTCAAACTTTGCGCTGGCCTGGTTTTCTGGAAAGGCATGTGAGAGGCACAAAAACTTTTCTCTTGTCCTGGATAATGGAAGAATTCTGCTGTGGATCTAGCAGGTTTCATCTGATTGGATGTGACAGTCATGCAACATAACACACATAACACATGTAATCACAAGAGTAGCACAAGTACACACTAGGTCATGATCGCAAAAATGCTGGCTGGTAGTGGCACCCTGACCAGTTTCGACCACTGCCGCATGGTCAGTGCATATCCATTACGAGTTGCATGCTGTGAGCTGTGCCGGATGCGCTAAGGCCAAACTATGTGAATATGCAATTCAACTAGCTAGTCCCTACGACACATCCATACCTAAACTTAGGCACTACGGTCTTCACCCGAACGCCCGGTCATTATCGCTGCATCTGGACCGAAAGTTGCGCCAAATACAGCTATAATGACTGGGCGTTCTATTCAGGTGAAGACAGTAGTGGTTTCTCAGTGTAGATTTTGCTCTCATGGGGATCAAAATATCAGTTGGACTTTTTATCTCCCATTCACTGACAAATTGCTAACTATTTGTAAACGAATCTACTCGGTTTCCTATTCTAGCCATGCCATGATGCTTTTTCACTGTCAGATTGTGTTATTGATATGCAAGTAAACGGCAGAGGAAGCCCGAATGCCACATGCTAGGCATGTTCACTAGACCCTTCCGCATAAGGCATGTCCATCCATCCATACATTCATCCATCCAATCCATCCCATTCATGCATTCATCCAATCGATCCGTCTATCGGTCCATCTCGGCCCCTCCATCATTATATCCATCACTAACCATCAGCCTTTTCAGCTGTCCGTGGACATCCATCTGCCTTCAATTTGTATGTCATCTCTCTCTCTCTCTCTCTCTCTCTCTCTCTCTCTCTCTCTCTCTCTCTCTCTCTCTCTCTCTCTCTCTCTC